CTGGGTTCCATAAGAAAGCAGGCTGAGCAAGTCATGGGAAGCCAGTGTTAAGCAGCATCCCTCCAAGGCCTCCGTGTCAGCTCCTGCCTCCAGGATCCAGCCCTCTGAGTTCCTGTCTGATGTCCTTTGACATTGAACAGTAATATAGAAATGTAAGTCAAATAAACCCTCTCCTCCCCTCATTGCTTTGGTCATGGTGTTTCATTGCAGCAGGTGCAACCTAACTAGGAAGAAGCTGGAAGCAGGATAGTGGAGTACTGCTGCCTCAGACCTGACCGTGTTGTTGTTGGAAGGATTGGAGAAAGACTTTGTAACTGTGGCCTAGAAAATCCACCAAGAGTTAAGAGCTCAGTGCACTGTTCTGTGGAATCTTGGGAGAGAAGAAGTTGAGAGCAATACAGATGATGGAGGTCCGGCTTGTGAAGTTTCAGAGGAAGCAAAGGCTCTACAGGGCCTGGCCTTCTGTATGAAAACTCTGTGGTATCTGGAAGCTGGGACTGAGAAGTCAGCCAAGATTAAGAGACCAGCACTACTGAAAGAAACCTTTGAGCCACTGGGACGATGGATGCTGGTTGGCTGGAAAGGAGAAATTTGCAGTGATTAAGAAGAGACCAGTATTACTGAGCCCTTCAGACTCTATATGCTGTTTTAAACTTAAAACACTAAGTGTGACAAGAGCCAATATTTTCTACCTAAATATGAGAGAAATTTAAGGTAAAATTAACATATTCTTAAATGCCTGGCATGGTTAATTCATTCTCATATTTTGTACTTACCATATTAGGATTTATTAATGAGCCACAGAGAGATCCTTCCATGGCCCTTCTTCTCAAGTCTCCTGCATTTTTTACATCTTTAAATAACAGAAGGGTCACTCTGCATTCAGGAAACAGGTCCAACTGCTGAGATAACTGCATTTCCTAGACAAGGAGGACGCTACTGGACAAAAGGAACAGACCACAGCAGGTCGTTAGATGTCAAAGACAGCATCCGTCTTCCCCACTGGTGTCCTCTCCTGACAGTCTCGCTATCCTAGACTTGCGCTGTACCTCCATCCCCCTGCCTCCACTCCCCAGGACCTAGAAATGCTTGTGAAAATACACTCATCTGTAACCAACGTAACAAAATCCTTGCATTCTACTTTCCTGTTTCTGACCTAGCTTAATTTCTGCTGCTGTTATGAAGCATCCTGACCAGAAGCAGCTGAGGGAGGAAAGGATTTATTTGGCTTACACATCCAGGAACCCAAAGGCAGAATCCACAGAGGAACACTGCTTGCTGACTCAGTCACTACCTTCTGCTTACTTAGCGTTTTTAATGCAGTCTAGGATCCTCTGCCCGGGGATTGTGTTGCCCTCAGTGTGCTAGGCCCTTCTACATCACAAGCGTCAAGGCAGTCCATCATGAAAGGTCAACAGACCAGTATGAGCTGCACAGTCCCTCAGCCGAGACCCCCTTCTCAGGTGACTCTGAAGGCTTTTGTCAAGCTGGCGGTTAGAGCAACAAGATAATCTTATAAACTACACAACTGTGAACATAAAAAAGTCCACATCATTGGCATCTTCATAACCTCTGTTCTTAAGTGTGCTGAGCTCTTTCCATTTCTTCCATTCCTGTGAAAAGCCAAGTGAAGTGGATGGTGTTCTATCTGGAAAGATGGGCAGCTTCTATGCATGGTCAAGCGGCTCCTGCCCTGGCAGACCCCCAGGGGCAGGATGCCAGAAAATGATGGCTTTCTGCTTACCTCAGCATTATCAGGACCACAATTTACTGCATCTTTGCTAAATTCCTAGTCTCCTTCACTTACAGCTTAGAAAGACCTGGCCACATATATATGGAATTAAGTTATAATGCTCAAGTCACATGCTTTACCCAAACATACAGTTTCCAACACGGAATCGACACAACATGTTAGACTGTGAACTAATTCTCACCAGGTGCGCTGGCTCACACCTGCTATCTCAGATGAGGAGCGGGGTGTAAAAGCAGCACAGAGTGTACTCGGTGTGAGGGCTCAGCTGCTGTGAGTGATGTCCTGGGTATGACAGACTTGTCACACTCACACAAATTAGATTCTAAAAACAATCTCAACCATCACTCTTTTTAAAGGAGATTGCAGGTAGGGCTTTACGAAGGCTAAGCATGCTCTCCTACTGAGCTCCAGCACTACCATCTAGCCGATTCTTTGGTGGGCCAATCTGCTTGGCTTGTTTCTGGAGGATCCAGTTTTAGTTTTCTTCCTCAAGGAACTAAATGGAAGTCTGAGGACGATAAAATGTCCTTTTATCACCTTGAAAGATTGAGAACAATTTATCCAGCCAATGGCAAGGTTTGGTATGGCTAAATAGCCCTGTCATGTTGGCAGGGAAAATGTCTTAGTGATCAAGCACTTGCCAAGCATGGATCAGGTCATGCTCAATCTTCAACACAGCAGCCCCAGCCTTCAAACCAAACCAAACCAATGCTGTGGTGTTCACCAGACAAACCAGGAATAACATTAAGCAAAACCACAGAAAAAAATGGCTAAATGTATCATTTTAATATTTGTTATTCTCATTTTCCGAGCCAGGCTGGCCTGGAACTCTCGATCCTACCACTTTTCTGACACTAGCAGTGGGTCACAGACTGGATCCACCACACTTTCTGACACTAACAGTGGGGTCACAGACTTGGTCCACCACGCTTTCTGACACTAGCAGTGGGGTCACAGACTTGATCCACCATGCCCAGCCTATGTTCTGTCTAACCGGAGTTTTTTGTAACAGGTCCTCATGGGGGTGGAGAGATGGCTGAGCAGTTATGGACACTTGCTGTTCGTGCAGAGCACATGAGTTTGGTTCACAACAGATATCAGGTGGCTCACAACCACTTGTAACTCCAGCTCCTAGGGCACCCACAAATGTTCACATACATATGTAGATGCACATATAAATTGAAAATAAAAATCTTAAAATAATTAAAAAGCTGCTTATAGAGAAAAGATCCTGAAGAGAGGGCTTAGAACACAGTTCAGTTGGTAGAAGAATAGACTAGCATGCACAGAACCATGGGTTCAAGCCCGAGCACTGTGTAAAACCAGTGTCATGGGCATCTACAACCCAGCCCCTAGGCAGTCAGAAGAGGGGTCAGAAGTTCAAGGTTGGAGGAGGTGGGGAGCGTTGAACTTTACAGTCTTGAAAACAACTGAAAAGAAAACTAATGTGTTTTTGCCATTCTCTTGAATATTTGTAGGTAAACAAAGTACTCTAAGCCCAAACTGCCCTCTCCACCAACCATGCCAGCCTACCTACTGCACAGAGGCTTCTGTTCCTGTCATTCAGAAACAAAATATTTTATCTTAACCATATCCAGACTGCTTCCAAATACATGCAACTGAGTCTATAGGAAGAGGAATTACATGTAATTCTGACCTTAGTCCCCGGAGCACAAGAAAAAGGCAGCTGGTAGCAAGACCTTCCATGTAAACTCGGCAGTGACCTCTATAAGGTAATGATGTTGGAATTTGTGAGCAGGAATTAAATGAGGGAACCCTGAAGTCTCTTTGTGTGAGGATCAGGATGAAAAAAAAAAATGGGCTCAGACTGAAATCAAAGGATGATGGTCTATCTGATCAGCTAGTCAAGTTAACTCTTCGCTGGTTGGTGTGAGATTTGGAAAAAGAACGACCAGATGAATGGTGAAAACTCCTTGGGCTGGAGCTCTGATAAGGTACACAAGATGCTCACAACAGACTTTGGAAAGATCAGTAAGATGCCCACTGGAGACAGACCCTTCAAACAGATACTCATCGTGCCCAAGAATAGCAGTGGACATGGTCATTTATCTTTAAAAGCGTAAGAAAGCATTCTCAGTGAAAAACAGTCCTCCGGACAGTCTTTCTCACTCAACACAACCACTGTGAAATCAATGGACAGAGCACCAGTGGCCCAGAGGACGGGCAGACATACTGCCAACACTTGGAACCATTATTCCTATGCCTACTTTTATCTCTGTGCAAATTATTAAGCCTGATGAAGACCTTCTCCCGAGGCTCCGATATCATGCACATACAAACACGGCTGGACTCTGCGCCTGAGGTTCCTCCAGAGCAAGGAGCATGACTGAAGGAGGGCCTGTTCATGGTCTCCAGATTCCAAGATGTAGCCTCGGTCTGGTTTAACAGATGTAAAACTATCAAAAGCCTTACTGACTTTTCTAGAATAGCTTCTCTCCTGGAAACCTGATGCCTTATCATCCTGACATGCATGGCTGACAATGCTGACTGTGTATAGAACAGTCATCATTCTGCCCCTCCCCCCGCCTCAGCCACATTTCTGTGACTTTCATTTGTAATACATTACCATAGTGTACTTAGGGTAGATTGCCTTTGACAGTTGGGGTTTTGTTTGTTTTCACTTTCTTAGCTGATGTGTGTAGAATGCCAATTAATCAATATTGGTACATTTTGAATAAGCATTATTTCAAGAATTGCCATGATTATCATTAAAATTAAACTATTTTCACTTATGTGTATCAATTGTTGTCTTAACTATGGTGTGCATCAGCCAGGCATGTTGGGACACACCTTTAACCCCAGCACTCAGGAGGCAGAGGCGGATGGATCTGTGTGGGTTTGAGGTCAGCCTGGTCTCCAGTGAGTTCCAGGACAGTCAGAGCTACACGGTGAGACCCTGTCTCGAAAACAAAAGCAAAACTATAGTGAGCATCTAGAATAAAACCCAAAATATAAATACAGATATATCTAAGCCCACAACTGAAACAACAAGATCTAAAATGTCACTTCTGTGTTACACTGAAAGGTACACTCCTGAAGTGGCGAACTGGTGCTGAGGACAGCAGAGCTAGTAAACTGTACTTGACAGTTTCTAGTATTTGGTAACAGAAACCACTTCTAAAAGTTGCCCTGACACTTTCTGAAAAGCAAACAACTGTATATATTTAATAAAAAACTTCTTACACTAAACAGAATTCTGCACTATTACATGTGCAGATTAAGTGGGTCATACTTAACTTTGGCACCTGAATCCTAATATTATGTTCCCTAGTTACTTTGGGGGCAGTGTTGGAATGTCCTCCTCAACCTCCCAGTTTGTTCCAGTTTCTGACTCCTTCCTCCCTGCACACAAAATGGCACCGGCCCTTCCTCCTGAGTGTATTCTTTGTTTACACCCGCCCTTTTTTATCCTATTAAATGTGCCTCAAGTTACATTTCCATCTGAAAAATATTAAAGTCATCCTCAACTACAAAGCTCCATGCAGTCCCAGGCTGGCTTGAGACACAGGAGATCCTGCCTCAGAAAACAAAGCAACAGCACAGAGCCAGAGAGGTAGCATGCCCTCTTCTGACCGCCACTGGTTCCAGACACACGGTACATATACATATATGTGGGCAAAACATCCACACATAAAAAATATTAAAAAACCACAAAACTTAAACACAATAGAAAGTTATTTCTGTTTTTCTAGAATTATGTCTGAGAGTTTCTGTTATAAAAAAGCAGAGTTTTGTAAATAATGTCCTGATACAGTTTTTTTTCTATGTTAGCATCAAATTAAGGAAAGACATACACAATATGATCAGTATGATCTGTCATGCAAAAACATGAACAGAAAAACTGCAGGAAACGTAACAAAACACAGACATCTTGAGTACTGAAATTATTAGGTGATTTTTATTGTGCTCTCAAAATATCATGTTGTACATGTCATAAACTTTCTACAGCCATCAAACAAAACCTAAGTTTGTATAATAAGGGAAAAATGATATTCCCTGTTTAGATATCCATTTCACTTGTGTGTGTGCCTGCACATATGTCTGTATACTGGATTCTTGCCTGGTACCTGTGACAGCCAGAGGAAAGGATTCAATGCAACAAGAGTAATAGACTTTTGTGAACTGCAGTGTGGGCATTGGGAATCAAACCCTGGCCTGACTTTTCACAGTAAGGGAGAAGAACTCAGAATAGTCTGTTCTAGTTTAGTGTAAGAGTCACTTCGGCCACAAACATGGAATCATCACTTAATATTGATCTGGTTTGATGCCTGTAAAATTCATACTGAAATTACCTCCCACTGTGAGAGATTAAAAAGAGGGGCAATAAGGAGACTTCAGAAGATGTTAGGACTTTGTACTCAAAAATCATTAATCCACTCATGACTATAAAGCTAATGATTTATCTCCAGAGCAATTAGGGTTTTGCACTCAAAAATTCTTTAACCCAGTAATATTATTATCAAAATAATGGTTTATATCTCCAGAGTGATTCTATTATGAATGCAAGTTTTCCTAGCCTTCTAACCTGCTCCCTGACTAGGAGGCAGGCAGATCTCTGAGTTCCAGGCCAGCTTGGTGTACAGACTAAGATCCAGAACTGTCTTGGTTACACTGAGAGACCCTGCCCCAAAAAACAAAACGAGCAACAAAACACCTCACCCCACGATGTATTAGCAAAAATGTAGTATTAGCAGCAGAAGGTAGTTCAATGCAGATGCCTCTCACTGTTATACAAGGTCGAGTGCCCGTGTCCTGAGTCTACCTCCAAACAGAATTCTGATTCACCCCCCATCAACAGCACCCCAAGAGCGTTTTCATCAAGGGCCTGTGCACCAATAGTAAAATCCTAGCCTATCAGTGTGTCACAAGGTCCTTCAGGAGGAAGCAAAAGCCCTAACTTTATGGCACCAGTTTTCACAGGTAGCTTCATGAACTTGCTTGCCTCCTCCCCTGCCCGATGTCCTGCCACTCTTTTCAGGGGCCAGATTTCCCAACGGGGTTTCCCTGTCCCCGGGTCTTCCTTCCTCGGTCCCTCCCGCCAAGGTCCCTGTCCAGGCCACCGCCGAGCACTTCTCTGACCAGCCTCCCACCCAATGCAGGGGCCTCCCCGGGTCTTCCCAGTCCACACGGGCCTCCTCCTCCTCCATCAGCCTCGGGCACCGCCTGTAGGGGGCGCCCTGGAGCGAGGAACCCAGCGGCCTTCCCGCACGACCGGCGATTGTGAAGTTACATTGCTCTCCACCCGAGGCCTGGGAGGGCTCGCGACAAACACTGGCGACAGGAGATTCACGCAACACCAACAAAACTGTGACGGCGAAGAAAGAGCTACCGTTCGCGCCGGCGGAACTCACCGTCAGTCTCAAGTCCGTACAGGAAGACCGTCCCCTAGGAAACAAAGCTCGCCACTCCCGGAAGTTCCTAATAGTTTTTTTTCGGTAAATAGGTTCCTTGCACCCGGTTTCCGGATCCTGGTGGGCGTCGTCAGCCTAAATCTGTATGAATTGCTGTGAACTTTCCTCACTACTTCTTGCCACTGCTTGCGGACTCCAAGGATAACTGGTTCTATTCCGTCCCCTTGTCGGGAGTTACAAAGGACCTAGAAGTTGAGGTATGGCGTTGAGTGTCGGCTTTATTCTCAGCCTGTGTTTAACGTCCTCAAGTTCTTTTTGTGAACTGAAAACTCTCCACCAGGACGAGAGTCACAGCTTTTCAGAGATTTTGAGGCGCAGTTTACTGAGTGTAGTCTCGGTAGGAAGCGGGGATGCAATGCGGTGGAGTGTCACATTGAAGGAGCTAGCTCCTCCCGTGCTCGGAGTCTGACAGAGGAAAGAGGCGAATCTTTTGAGCAGACCTGATAGTGAGGCTTCTCTGAAAGGATGGTGGGGTCAAGTCCGCGGGTAGTGAAACCTGATTTTGGTTTGTGCTACCTGCCAGAGAACCCAAGAAATAGAGAAAGGACTGAATCTTAATATTACGGCGTATCCAGAGAGCCTGCAGTCTGAGGAGAGAGCAGATTAACTATCCTAGACACATGTATTCCATCTCATCTCCAGCCAGCAGATTATAAAAAGAGGAGGAGATAGGTCTGGAGGCAAATGCAGCCAACTATCGTGGAGCTCCGTTTTGCCTCCCTGGTCGGGTGGTTACCCCATTTCTGAACGTTGTTGTTTGTGTTTGTTTTGTTATCTTTTGCACTCTTTCCTCTTCTGTGAACGTTTGGACTCAGGCACTTCTTGAAACTCGGAATCTTGGTAGTTTCTAATGATATTAACCTTATACTCCTTCAGAGGCATCTGGGCTAGGGTGGGAAGTTAACTCAAACCAAATGAGAGTGTGCCCATGCTAAGCTAATATGTGCATTTTGACTCCTTCCTACAGTATGGAGTACAAGTGTGTCTTCTTAATACAGAATATGAAAGTGTCCCCATCTGTCCTCAGTCTTTGTTCTATGCTAGTAGTAACTCTGGGATCTGTGTCATTTGAAAGATGACCTCTTGATACCATGCACCTGTTTGATTGTCAGAATGGCTTCTTGTAAGAGGAATTCTCTGACATGTAACAATGTACGTGAGAGCTCACTCTATGTAGCAGGAGCAGCTATGACATGGAGTTTCATATTTCTGAAATATGCCTTTGTCTGAAACAAACATAAACAATAAAAATATGAACCAGCATATGGAAAACACAAGTGTTTCTCTTTAGCTTCTTGGCTTTACCTCTGGAGAGTCTTTCACAAGTGACTACATTCTTTTTTTATTATTATTTTATAAATAGTACCAATCAAAATTTCCAGTTCCTCCCCTCCTCCCATTTCCCTCCCGCTCCTCCCACATTCTTCCCCCCATACTTTCCAGTCCTAAGAGAGGGCAAGGTATCCTGCCCTGTGGGAAGTCCAAGGCCCTTCCCCCTTCATCCAGGCTTAGGAAGGTATGCATCCAAAGAGAATGGGATTCCTGAACTGGCCTTGTCCCATAGTCAGACTGATGACTATCTTGAATATCATCATAGAACCTTCGTCAGGCAACGGATGGAGATAGAGACAGAGACTCACATCGGAGCACTGGATTGAGCTCCCAAGGTCCAGTTGAAGAGCAGAAGGAGGGAGAATATGAGCAAGGAAGTCAGGACCACGAGGGGTTAGTCCACCCACCGAGACAGTGTGCCTGAGCTAATGGGAGCTCACCAACTCCAGCTGGACTGGGACTGAACGAGCATGGGATCAAACTGAACCCTCTGAATGTAGCTGACAATTGGGTAGACTGAGGGTCAATGATAATGGCACTGGGATTTGCAACTACATTCTTGCTGTTGGTTTTGTCTCCAGCCCCGTTGGGTACACTCTCCTCCAGTTGTCCCTCGGCCTATTCCTGCTTCCCGAGGGCTGGATGGCAAACAAGCAACATCTTGTCCAGGGTAGTGTGATTCTGACACCTTTCCACATCTCTGAAGAATGTTCTTGAAAGATACTGTTGATTCACTAGAGTGGTTTGATCTTCTCTCTCATTCCTGGGATTCGATCTGCCTCAGTTGATTTGATCTGATTCTGTGTTGTGGGGGGGGGGGGAATATTGACAGATGTCAAGGAAGCAGTGCCAATAAAACCCTTTATGTCCAATTTTAGGCAACTAAGAGGGATAGAAGGAATGGTTCCTAGACCCAGCTGAAGTCTATTCTATCCATTTTGTGTTTCTCGTTGGTGATATTGTAGCATCTTTAAAAACACTAATGGGGTTTCCCCTTCAAGACTGTACTTCTGCAGAGTGTCTGCACACAGTAGCTTGCCATGTGTGCCACCTCCACTGTCACACACTCCAGGTCTTTGCCTTTGGTTTACAATTATTCTGGAGCCACCAAGGAGCTGCCTCTCTAGGGCTGTTGTCCAGAGGAAGGGCAGACGTCAGTTTCTACTTAATGCTGTTCCAGACACTCTTGACTGTGCTGCCAGGTGAGAGGAAAGAGGCAAAGCTGGGGCTTCTGTCCCAGCATTTAAAGGTGGGGTGTTTGGGAATTAACCCTTTGCCTTCCCCTGGATCCAGTCTTTACAGTAGGGAAAGAGAGGCTTTTCTGGAAGGTGAGCGTGGGAACATAGCTCTGTGATGCAGGGACCCTGAAGAGGAAACACAGTTCTAGGGACACCACATCATCATGCACAACGGTGCCATCTCAGTACAGAAAACCAAAGAACCTGCAAACTGGGTAACAACATTGAAGGAAAAGTTTCTATGTGTGCCACATACAAGCTGGAGCGTTAAAACCAGATCTTCTTTCTTGCTGTTCTGCGGATGGAGACACACACTCAGGGAGGAAAGGGAGACATCGAGGATGCCTTGACTGGGGGTGGAACAGGGAGGAGGCAGGGGAGTGATCAGGTGCTGCTGACACAGTCTCTCTTCCCAGTGTTAGCATCTGCTTCCTCATCAGCAACAGCAGAAAGGAACGGGGCCTGCATGGGTTTTGGGAAGGGGATGCCCAGGGGACTCACATTGGTTTCTTTCTCTGCAGCACTACATTCCAACTAGAAATAAGCAGCTTTTGCAAAGCACAACATGGGTTCTGAACTTAACTGCTTAATGTAGAGAACACTGCTCTTAATGGACTTAAAACTACCCTTTGAGAGACACGGGCGCTTCCACTGACTTTGCCTGGGAAACGGCAATAGTTTGTTTTCATGGTCAGAGGCTCACGAGGACGGAACACATCCCAAGGAGAGAAATAAAAGCTTCACAAATCATCTCTGTAACTTGCGTATTAATAAAAGTACACATTGACTACAGCAGCAGTGCAACCGTCCACATTGGAGATGTGTTTAGTAACTGCAAGACTGCTGTAGGGCATCAGTAGCGCTCCTGCACTGGCATTAGTAGTGCTGTGGGGAAGCCTCGCCCCTGCACTGGCATTAGTAGCACTGTGGGGCAGCTTCACCCCTGCACTGGCATTAGGAAGGTTGGGGAGACCCTCATCTCTGCTCTGATATTAGGAGTACAGACAGCAGCCGTCTGGAATATGAAAAAATAAACCACTGGGGAGTTTGTGCCTTTTCTTAACCCCACTCTCCATTAAGGGAAAGCTAAGTTCAATGCCAGGATCCTATGCTACAGTGAAATTAAAGAACTAATTATCACAAAGTGTCCTCTGACTCCACATGCACACTGCGACACACTTGTCCTCCCGCGTAAATAAAGTCAAATGAAGTGAGTCTGGGCATGGCGGCTCGTGCCTCTAAGGCCAGCCTTCTCTTTTACAGTGCTGCTTTGGGAAGAGGCAATGTTACAGTAGCACTGGAGGCCACTAAGGTAAAGGCACTGCCTCCTGAACAAAAGAGTGGACATGTGCCATCATCTGCTACCTTAAGGGTTAATCCATGGACTGGAGAAATTGTTCTGTGACTAAGTGTGCTAACAGTTCATCCATAGCAGGTTCAATTCCAAGTCTCTACATGGCATCTCACAACTATCTGTAACTCTAGTTCTAGAGGATGCAATAGTCTCTTCTGACCTCTGCACAGTCAGATACCCAGATACGCATGAAGGCAAAACACCTATCCACAAACTATTACTAAAAATAAAACAATTTCCTTTAAAGGAGTTAATCCAATTGTACATGCCAATCACCTGTCCAAGGGACCATCCCTTAGGATGGTGGATTTACCTTAATGTGCACAGAGGAGATAACAGGAATAATTAATTAGCCCTTTAATAAGCCAATACCTTTCCTTCCCAAATCCTTGACCCTGAAAGCAGTCTCTGTGGCAGACATGAGGTTCCTTGTGTCTGCCCCTTTGTCCCTTTAGGGTGCTGGCCAGTGCCTAAGTCCTCTTCTGCTGGAGTTCTGGGCTCCCTCACTCTGTCTGTGCAGCCCCAGTTCCCACCATGTGTCTGCTTGTCTGCCATGTGGCTGACCTCCACACC